TGATTTGATCCAACAGGAATCAGGAAGGAGATATTTGCCCCAAGGGCCACTAAAACATCTGCTTCTGCCCTCCATCTTCATCTCTCATTAAGACAGCATCATTTAAAAAGCCAATTCAAAGTGCCTTACAAAGACTAAGTGGGTAATAGATGGTGTTAATCTTTGAGCAAAGGATTTTGGGACCTCAAGCTATGCTTATAGCGGCTCACTCTGATAGTTAGATGAGGAACATGCACATGAGTATTCTGTTGGGGTCATTTTGTAGGGCTCTAGGAGCACTCCTCCTGTTCCTCCTCCTACAAAGGCGCAGATACAAGTCCTGCTGCCAGGCTGATTCCCTCCTAAGGCCCTATCCTTGTGTAACAGCCATTCTCCTGGTATCTCTCTTCAGACTCTGCTGGGAGATACAGAAAACCTTCTTGCAAGGAGTTGGTTTAGCTGTAACTTGAATGGGCTGCAGGTACAATATCATACGACATGCAGTGGACACTTGCAACAAGCAAAACTGGAGTAAAATCAGTCAGGGGGGATAAGGAGATAGCAATGACCCGTAGCCACCACCTGCAAAACCATCAATTTTCAGGAGGGTCGTCTTGTTCACCTGGCTTACAGTGGTTTATGCCTCCATTCTGAATGGACTGATATTGCTTAAGTTGAGGTGACTTTGTGTTATACTGTGATGATCAAGTATCACACTCTTTTGAGCTTTTGTACTTTATAATGCTCAAGTAATCTAGTTCTAAGATACCTGATGTCTGTTGTTGATATGGTTGATGGGCTAATTCTTTTGTATATTTAAGTGATATGCCAAATATTTCTCATCTAAAGGGGAAAAATAAAATAACAGCAGGCCAGAAACAGAGTGGCAATACTGTTTCAGTGAAGCTATAATTGATAATAACAGCCTCAAATTGCAACAAGAAACAAAGTAACAGTAGAACAAAGAAACTCATCAATCAAAACCACAGAAGAAGAATAAAGATTTTCATTGGGACTGAAGCTGCTATAATTAGATCAGATGTGAATAATCATGGAGGTGATTTCATGTGTGTGCAGTTAAAAAAGCTTCTGTTTGTTTGCTTCAGACTCCATAATGACCTAAGAGCTCTCGATACTAGGTTTATTCTTCATGAGAAATGTGTTTAGAGCCAAGACTGCTTAAATGGTAAATGGACTGATTCTTATATAGCGCTTTTCTACTCTCCCAGAGTACTCAAAGCACTGTATACAACATGCCTCATTCACACCCAGTTCTAAACACAAGTGCAAACTAATCTACATTCACACTCTGATGAACACATCAGAGAGCAACTTGGGGTTAGTATCTCGCTCAAGGATACTTGACATGCAGACTGGGGAAGCAAAGGATCGAACCACCAACCTTCCAATCAGTAGCTGATCTACCACCTGAGCCACAGCCACCCCTGCTTATTAACATTACATTAATATACAGCAGCACTTTAGCATAAGCTAATGCTGTGTTACACTCTTGGGGTATTAAAGTATTAAAATAGTTACTCCTGAAAATGAAACCACGAATGAGCTCCTCTTGGCAGGATACGTGACCTTTAATGTCTTTCTTCGAGATAATAGAGCTTGAGCGTGTCATGCAAAGCTGTGATTAAAATTATTCTCAGATAAGATTTTTACCAATGAAAGCATTAAAACCTGGAAAACTCCAAAATGTTGTAGTAGTCTGCTTAGATTTCAGGACTGTGAAAGATAATATCTGTCAGTTTTCCAGTCTGCCCAGAAGTTTTTCTCACCTAAATGGTAGGGATTATACCCATCCCCAGCTCCATAGTCATGTTATCTCCCTTTACCCTGCCTTTAGGCCAACTTTGTTACTTGATTGGCTGCTCCTTACAAACAGCAGGACCAAAAAGAAGATAAGTTTATGGCTAGAACCTCTCACATATGCATCTGCACTTTCCTCATTTCATTCAACATGAATATGATCCAACGGTATGCGCAAAGACGATATTAGGACCAATCAGTACCATAAAAGATGTTTTATGTCAATATTTTTTTTAAACAGCCAAACAGCATTCTCAGTGTCATTTTCAATCACTCTGGCTGAAATGTGACCAAAAGGGCATTTGCATTTTCCTTTAGGAAAACATGTTGAGAAAGCTATTTTGAATAACTTGCCTCCAGAAATGCAAATGCCCTTTTGGTCACATTTCAGCCAGAGGATTTAATAATGGGTCTGTATTAAATTAATAATTCAAGAAACAATGGCGTCAAGGTCAGAACAGCAGGTGGATGAATTAAAATGCTCCATTATGTCCTCCAGAGTTTCGACTTTGTTGGCTGTACAGTGTAGCCAGTTCATTTTCTGCACACCTAGAGCAGGAACCCTTGTTCCATTGTTCAACATGGAGCAATTTATGGCCACTGTCATGTTTTCAATTAAAAAATGGTGCAAACTCATTACATTTACTGAGAGATAAGAAGTCAAGGGTAACTGTGTTGGGGATTAGTCAGAGCCCAAGCAGTGATAAACAATAATTTATTCCTGCTGACCATGTCAAAAAAACTCTTGTTTTTCCTCATTTATGTCAAACTAATGTCTTCTTGTGTCATACTCAATCTGAATGCGTTTTCCTCTTCAGTGGAGCTGCTTCCTGATTTTCAAAAATGTTCTTTTACCTTTTCTCATAAAATTGCAAGAGTAAAAATTTGGTGTCTCATTGATGTAAGTGCCACAGAAAGAACTCTAGCATAACCATTATAACAGCAGAAAACAGCAAACTACTGAAAACACTGAAGCTGTCAGAAAGGCGTTAACAACATTGCTTAAAATATCTTCTTTTTTCCCCAAAAAGAAAACCACCCTGTGGCCTTGAGTGCATGTGTGGGTTCCAACAGCTCGGCTTACCTCAGAAGTCCTCAGCAGTTTTCTCTTTATTGTTGTGAATAAATAAATAAATAAATAAAAATGTGAGACAAAAGATGAAAGCCTCTCAGTGATTTTTGTCAATCATTTGTCTCAGATTATGACTCTTTAAATAATCAACTGCCTATCAATCACTGGGTTTTTTCCCTCCTCTTTTATAGACAACTAGCGAAGGAAATCTAGCCAGAAATAGAAAGCACGAGAGGGGGTGGCAGCAGTGAGCAAAATAAACAGCAGTGGTAGTTTCCATGGCAACCCAAAACTTCCCATGATGGAGTGCCAGCTCAGCACAAGTAATTAATGCTTCACTGGTCCGATAAAGTCTGATAGACTCTGTGCAAAACAGTTTACCTCAACCTTCAAAGCTTAAAAAACTGAAAGAAAAATGTATTTCTGGGTTTTCAGCTCCCAGATTGTCCTCTCAGATTGTGAGTTTCATGTGAAAGTGCTGCTGTGCCCATTAAATCTGCACCTGAAGCCATGTGCTAGGAGCAAAGGGGATTTAAAAAACAAAAGCAAAAAACATATATAACAAATAATATGGCTTGCTTTGTGGTTCAATACACTAACAGCTGGAGCGGGAGAAGCTGACAACAGACAGAATATTTTGGATGAATTTTTCACCAAGCATGTAACGGTTTTTCTTGTCTCTGTGCTGTGCCTGATATCATACTATATAATACTAAATTAATGACTTCTCTTAATCTGCATTTGGACATTGCATCATATATTATGACGTGCTTTGAGGGATGGTGGAAACTCAGCTTTCCCTCATCAGTGACGTGAGGCCAACAGATCTAATCTCATTTTACGTCAGTGCTTGTGTGAAGCTCTGTTAACTTCCTGGTCTTGATGGAGGTTAAAGAGTGGAGCTGAGCAAAATAGAAATGTAGCAGATTTCCAGAGTACATGCTGTCAGCATAGCCATCACCAGTGTTCCCATTACACTTCTTCTGTTCTGTTATTACTCCTTGATTCAGGTACAGAGCTTGAAAATGCCTGCAGTCCTGCCCAAGTCACTGATTGACCATCAGAGAAAGTGTTCTTTAATATCAAGATGCCACACTTTTCCTTATTTGATTTCACTTACTTTAACATCAGCAATCCCACTAAGCAGTCACAGGAAGGTGTTATCAGCTAATTTTGTCAAATCTGCCAATATTTGTGATTAATAACATGCAGAAAGTGGGAGTCAAAAGCGTGGACCATAAACACACGTTTAATTTTGTGTATTGTCACAGTGCCACCATAGCTTGTTCATGTGAGACACGCAACACAAAAAGTTACACATTTCATGTTTTTGTTTTTTACCAGAAATACTGTTCAGGTCATGATTTAACTTTAACCCTATCTTACTTTTATCATGAAATTTAGCTTAACACCACTAAGCTGCAACTTTTAAACAGCAGGAAACAAAGGAGAGAAGAAGCAGCAATCTCAAATTGATTTTTTTGGAAAGTGCATTCGAGTTAAGTAATATTTTCTTTCTTGCTGCCTCATTCTTGGCTCTGGTTTTATCCACGCAGTGCTTTAACCATCGTTAAGTTCTCTCCTCTGCCCTGGTTTGCAGTTGTCAGTCTTCCTTTATACGCCACAACTGAGAGCTGCTGCAGCTGTCCATGATGATGTGTAAGCAGTTTCAAGTGAGCAACGTGTTTTATCAGTGAAGTTTACCCTAGCATGTTTCATCGTGGCAGTACTGCTGGGCTTCAGTAAACATGCACATTAATGCACATGCATATGAAGTTTGGAAAAATTACTTCAAATGCGGTGGAGTTATTTAAGAGATAACGCATTCACAAAATTCATGTTGCCGCTCAATACAGAAAATCTGGGCATCAAATGACTCGTCATTTTATCTGACATAGCAGTGAGAAGATCCACACACACACACACACACACACACACACACACACACACACACACACCACACACACACACACACACACACACACACACACACACACACACACACACACACACACACACACACACACACGATGTGCAAACCAGTTGCGAAACACAGAATTGAGCATCTTGTATCTGAGTGCCACTCAAAGCAAACGAATGCAACAGCATTAAAACACAAAGGGAGGTAAAAGAAAATTAAATAAAACAATTTATTCCATCACAAGATGACACACATTCAGAGATAAGTTATTTCAGTATATTCACACCCTGACGCTGAGCACATTAGGAACAAATTGAAACACAGCCGTGCTGCTTCGGTTTTGCCTTGTCACCACTGATGACTTAGTCCTCGATCATAAAATTTCTGCAGAAGCCTTGTGTTCATTTCAGCCTCTCTCTGGCTCCAAAACTCTATCACTGTCACCATGGAAACAGGGAAAGCCCCACACGTTTCCAAGGGAACCAGATGGAAATTATATGCTTTTTTTTTTCCTTTTCTTTTTTTCGTGCCAGTATATGAGAGCTTCTCTGCAATGCTGCTCTGTTCTGAGTGTGTGAACGTGGGTGTGTGTATTCCCGGTGGTCCCACATTTGATTGGGAAAGCTCCGATTTAGCTGAGCCTGCAAATGTTGCCCAGTTCACTTGGCCATGTCCTCGGCCACAGCCTTCCCCATTTTATCTTTGAGGTAGGCTAATTTCTGCCACTCTGTCTTGAGCTCCAGCCACTCGTAATACGGCACCTGAAAGAAAATAAAACAGACAAAGCATGTGTTTACAGAGCTGATGACCATCTGTCACCATTAAAGATGTATATTTAAAATAAAATGTTGGTTTTCACTCTTAGATTCATATAGTTGGTCAGTTAATACAGTCTGAAACACTGCAACCCGACAAGCAAGTGAGTATACAGTTGGCTAAGGAGATTGTCCTAGATGAGAGAAGAGACAGAGCTTGGATTGGCCTAGATGAGGCAGAGCTGCGGCTGGAGCTCTATTTATACCACAGACTGCAGCGGGGCCCACCTGACTCTCAGCTCTACAAGTATTAGCTCCATTGTTTGCACACAATCAGCCTGACAGAAACAGCAGCAGCGGCGGTGCTGGTTCTCTGCTTCTTTTCTTTGAAATATTGCTCACGAGCAGAGAAAAAAAACAGAAGATCTCTATTTCAGTTGGCTTTAGTGTGTGTTTGAGTTTGGGCAATAAAAAAAAACTAATCTAAAGAACAAACAGAGCTGTTCAGCCTATATAGAGAAAATTATTCAGTCACTGTGGGGGGGGGGAAACACCACCATCTCAGGCACTGCTACAACGCTGGCTTCTACTCACCTCTACTGTGATGAAGCCAGCCAACTGAAGATGTCGCTTCATCATGACAAAACGTCCCAGAAGGTCTTTACTCTTTGAGCCAAAGTTGGGAAATTCCCAAGATAGGAAAGCTACCCTAAAAAAAAAAAAAAAACATATGTGGGGAAACAGGAGGACAAATATATTTAGATTCCTGGAGCAAAAGATGCTGCAACATTAAAAAGCTCAAAATAAATCTTTAAGTACCCAAACCCACATGACTCTTCCCTATGACTCACCGCCGTGCTCCTGTGGGTAAAGCCTGATCTCCTCCTCCGCTTGGTAGATGAGGGGCTTTTATTGTTACCATGTCAACTGGTTTGTTGTCAGCATCCACGACGAGCTCACCATCTGAGAACATAAAAAACAAAACCGCTCTAGTAGTGATGAAGCATGTAATCTCATATTATATCTCCAGGCTTATTATATCTCCTTACCAATAGTCCATCCATACACTGTGTCAGCACCAATGCGAAGGGCTTCTGACCTCCCGCCCACAAACTTCAGTAATGTTTCTCTCAGGGTTCTCTGCAGAGGGGACAGGGGGGAGCTGCTGGCCGGGAAAGACGGGACACTCTGAGAGGACAGAGTATCCAAAGAACCAGGATGCTCCAAGCTGAGAGTAGCAGCGATATGCAAGAGCTTCAGTTTGTAGTTCTCTGCTCGAGCTGGACTTCCTTCTATAGTGAGGGGAAAAAAAAAACAACAACACAAAGGAAAGAGGAGGAGTGACGACAACTCACTGGCAACAGGGCTTCCAAAACCCTTACAAGAAGGTTTGAGGAAACAAAGCAATTTTTTGTCTCTACAGGACAATGGGACTGATGATCAATCTTGTCCAGTCAGAAGTATAGTGGTGTGGTACTGCCATCTGCTGAGCAGGAATGGTATTTAGGTAGTTAACCATAAATGCCCAGAAAGACACTACAACACAACGTTAAAAAAAGAGAAAAAAAGATGGGAATCAGAGAAATCTGAGGTCTTTTATATATATATATTTTTTTCTTTTTTTCCTTAAAAGTTTCCTTCCTGTCTTGCCTATATAGCCCAGACAGTTTCGTGGTTAGCATCCCTGCATTGCAGTTACATTGATTCAGTCACTCAGCTCTACTTCACCAGCTACTGTGAGTGGTAAGAGGTCTATACAATTGTCTTTGTTTGTGCACACCAACCACAGTTAGGGCTAAAACCTGTGATTAAGAAAACTACGGGGCCAATTTATTTTCATTTATCTATTCCCTTTATTTAACAAGGAAGTGCCACTGAGATCAAATCTGGTTTTACACGGGAGACCTTGCAAAGGTAGCAACCGAACAAACTCAAAATCTCTCAAAAACTGAACAAATACAACATAAAATGCAAGAGACACTCAGAGAACGCAGACCACCACCAAGGCAGCTCAGTATTTATTTTAAAGGGAACAGTATCATATTTTGTATCTAAATTCCATTTTCTTTTAAATATACTTTAAGAAGTTTGCACTAAAGGTAAAACAAGCATTAGATTATTGTAATGCACATAAAGTCAGAATAAAATGAATCAACTGCACTAAAAAAGTATCCCATGCCAACATGTTCCTGTCAGCTCTTTATTCTGGTATGACTATTTAGTTTACAATCTTTGAGCTGCTTTATGTATCGGTCTCCATGACAACTGTGGTGAACATTTCCTCCATGTTTCAGCTTGTAAAACTTTCAGCCTGTGGTATCACATAGGTGCTGTGTGGGGATTCAGCTCTGAATTGTGGGAGGGATGTTTTTCAAGTCTTTTATTTTATTTGGCAAAACAATCTTTGTGCTGGTTTTCTGGGTCTGATTGGATGTCCTGCTGTTATCATCTGTTGTTTCTGCCTCAACGCATACCAGGAATTTTGGTAATGTGCTAGGGGCTTCCTTATCAGTTACCTGAAGCACATTCACCAGCCTCTCCTACTTTAAAGGAGCAGGCCGTGTATTTCACCCTGAACGTCTGACAATTTAGAGGAAACCTGATTTACTTGTCTGAGCCTGCTGTGTCACATAAAGCGCATATCTGCAGAACTGAGAATTGAGGATAAACGCACACACAGTACCGATTCTTACCTGAAAGTTTGGAAACGTGATTTTGCTGTATGAGGGGAATGAGATAGTGGGGTTTGGCCTGCTGTAGCACACACAGAGACCAAACCACATCCGTTTTCAGAAAGGGTTCCAGGCCTGAGACAGCCTTCTCCAACACAGAGTGCACCTTTAATCAAAACAGCACAGAGAGCAATCGTTTCAGTTAGGAAGAAGAACGAAATGTGCACAATCAACAAAAAGCCTTTAATGACATTAGCACCTTGTTAAAGAACTCTTCTCCTTTGCTGGGCTGAAAGCCCAGTCTGGCAAAAGTCATGAGCAGATTACACAGCTGAGAAGTAGTATACTTGTCGCTGTTTGCTGTGTAGTGCTGATAAAACAAAATGTATAGAGAGAGAATTTGAAATCACAGATGCACAATGTTTTGAAAATGACTTTTATCAGGGGCTGATTACTCACCTCAGCAAAGGCTTCAAATAGAGGCATATGGAGCCATTTGAGAAAACCAAGTGACTTAGCACAGCGTGTGATGTCAGCAGAACTGAGCTCAGGGACTCTGGGTAATAACTCCGAGGCCATTCGCTGAAATACCTGAGAATGGTGGAAACTCAGCTTCCCTAAAAGCAATGATAAAGGTTCTGTTGTTAGCAGCGCAGAGCGTGTGAGCAGACAGTCATATACAAAACACAACAAAACCTCATTCATCAGGTTTATCAAACCTAATATAAAGACTTGTGATGATAACACATACATAGCCTATTATTTATGGTGTTATTACCGTGTGCAAAGGCCATGTCCATTATCAAAGGTGTGGTGAACTCCGCCGAGGGTTTCTGGAGAAGGTGGTAGGACAGAGCCCTGAGAAGTGGGACGCTTCTGCGACTCTGAGCTGCCAAAGATACACAGACTTTGCGAATATCTTCTCCTGAAAAGCCCTCTGCAAGCTCCAAAGCCTAAAAGTGGAGAAAGAGGATCCTTCATATGATTTCAATATATGTCAAGTCAAATCAGTGTATTCATATAGCACATTAAACACAACTGATCTTGCCCAGCTGCATAAGCAATTAAAATTAACAAAGAAACAACACAAGTAATTAAAGAAGAATAAAAACAATAATAATAATAATAATAATTAGGGAATGGAGTAATAATATAAAAATGATAATAGTGAGTTACGGTAGATGAAAACAGTAAAATGATATTAGAATAAATGCACAGAGGAAAATGACAGTAAGCTTAGGTTATATTTATACTCCAAAAGAAGAAGATGACTGTATCGCTGCCTTAAATACTAGGTAAAATCTCTGTACAGAGTTTTATGTATATGGACACAGTGTCTAACTCTAAGTTACTTTCACTGTGTTGCCACTACAGACACAATCATTTTTATCATTTCTAATCAACACATTAATATTTCAACTTTTTCTATAATATATATATATAAAATTTCACACGTGCTTTCTCCATTTAGCAATCTCAAGGGATTGCATGTAAATGACTTTAACCCAGTGAGAAGGGCCAAACTTTTAAACACAGAAATCTGCCTAAAACACTGACATTAAAACTTTAAACTTCAAAACTGGAACTTTAACCGTGTTTTAAAGGTGACCGTTGTTTGAAGTCTGATACCTTGTCCTCCAGTCTGTCCATCAAGCTTGGCGACATGCGTTCTCCTTTGGATATCAGCGCACTGACAGTTTTCGTATCATCAATCTCAGTCCAGCGCAGTTCAAGTTGTTTAAGCGTAGCGTTCACTAGTTCCACATCCTGCTGAGCTTTCCTGCCTGCTCCCCAGTCTACCAAGTAGCCCAGCTGTCTGTACGTCAGCCTTCGAATTCTCCACAGGACTTCTGTCTGGACAGAACTGAGCACCGGATCACCGGGGGAAACACCCATAATCCAGAGAGTTCGCAAGACAGACACTAGACTGCTGTTCCACACAGAGGCCACCTTGAATACACAAAGATAAATGAGATATTTATCTCAACAGACAAGCTTAAAGTTCTTTTGAATGTTGATAACTTTAATAGATGAGGGCAGAGCTAGTGCACTTCACTCATGTACCTGCCGAGATAAAGTATTCATCATATCCAGGAGCCTTGAATCCATCATCAGTTCTGGTTGTTGTTCCTTAAACTTTCCCTTGGTTTTTAGTACCAGCTGGGCCCACTTCATGAGGGCGGTGGCAGCTTGATTACCATTACCTCCATACTTTTCCCAAGCAGACAGGATGTCCTCTGGCACTGTTGCCTTGTCCACCGATTCGTCCAGCTGTGTGCGAGTAGGGCTCACTGAATAGTGGTCTTCTTTGGTAACTGCTGTTCTTTCACACATTGACCTCTCTGTGAGCCATGGCCAGCCCTTGGCTCTTTGATACTCTGCAGGCCCAGCAGCAGATAGAGGTAGGCGAGCAGCAGCAGCAGCTGAGGCCTGAGAGGAGGACCTGCAGAGCAGACGGGCACATCTGCCCAGGAGGCGGCCAGCCATGGAGTCTGAGAGACAGAGAGTGGCTAAAGACAGGAAAGAAGGGCTTTCTCACGGCTCAGCAGCTGGTGTCACCATCCCACTTTAAACCTGAGGGGGCAGTAAAGAATTCAACATTAAGTGTGGCTATAAGAAAAGGGTCGCCTTTTAAATCTCACTACAAGTTAACACATTTTCAAGTCCGCCAAATGCTTTAGCCATGTTTCATCTTCTACTTGTGATACAGATTTCCTGAACAGCGTCGCTAATGGTGATAAAAGTGGTTGTGTAACCAGTGGTACGCAGTTTTTCTTCGTCAATAATGCATCTAAGCCTAGCTCTGCAGTACATGCCACTGTAACGCTGATTAAAACCCATCTTCTTTACACGGAACCCGGCAGCAAGAGAGAACAAGCTGGTCTTGTCATGTAACGTTGAATCCTGACCTTGTAGAGAGGAAGAGGCGCAGTGAAACGCCGGTCTGCCATCTACCTCCCCTCATAATACTCGTGTCTGTGCGTCGGAGAGCAGACTCACTGCACGGTTTCACCGGCTACCCAAATAACCAAAGGCTTACCTTTAATTTACGATCATTTTGGCGAAAGTTGTTCACATGGAAAGTGTCTAGGAGAGGTGGTCGCAGAAAATTGACGTCGTCGGACGCTGTCACGTGATCAGCGGATGTCGCTGTCATTGGCTGGAGTCGCCCGACAAGAATCGAGAGTCCAGGTCGCGTTCAATAGTGTGTGTTTGAATCTATTTTATAATGTAATGCATTTCTATATAAACCAAATCCAAACGTTCGCCAGTTCATGAATGAAATGAAGCTCACATTCAGGGCAAATCTGTCTTATTTGCAAGCTACTTAGTTTACCGTCACAGTTGGTGTGAACGCTCTCATCACACTTGACAGGAGAAAGCACTGTGCAAAACTCTTGAACCACCCATTGCATTACTTTGTTATATTTTGCTTACATTTTTTTTTCTTCTTGAGCAATAGTTCTACAGATTTTCTGAGGGTCAGTCAATCTTTCGACATTGGCTGCTTTTTCATTCGTCAGCACTGTCCTTGTACCTGGCCATTTTCACAGGAATTGGGCTTTCTCTTTTTCTTCTTCTTCTTCTTTTTTTGTTTTTGATCAGCCACTTAACATTGACCAAAGAATCATTAAAAAAGGGGCGAACCAGTGCTGTGTCTACACATAACAGACAACTTAGCAAAGAACTAATTTTAAATTCTATCTTTAGGCACAAAAACCCATCACTAGTTCCCATTTTATTTTCCATATTATTGTAGGTTACCATTTTGACAGGCAAAGTGATTTCCAAAGAGCTACAGCAAAAACAAAAACTTGGGGAAACCAGAGCGGTGGAGGCAGGGCTGGACTGTCTGAATGTGGCATACCTGGATTTAATGGGCCAATGGAAAGTCTAATGAAAGTGGTGAAAAGGTAGAGCTGAAAAGCTGAGAGAGAGAGAAAAACAAACAAACAAACACACACACACACACACACACACACACACACACACACACACACACACACACACACACACACACACACACACAGTACCAGCAAAATCAAACAAAATACAAACCTTTTATGGTGACTTTCTCACAGTCACAGGAGGCTGCTGTTGTTAGCATTAGTCATGGAGAAGTGCAGGAGGCGGGACAGCAGCCCCAACAACAGAGTGAGGAAGAGACAAAGGAGGGGTTAAATTAACTCGGTAAGAAAATAGATGGAGGGACATAATAAGGAAGGGAGAAGTTCAAGGGTTCAGGCAAAATGAATGGCTACTTGACCAGTGAATGGCCACTGCTTATAGTACCAACTGACTAAAACTTGTGTCAGTTTCAATAACAAATATATACTGAGTAATCATGGTGAGCCACCTCGACTAAGAGTTCAGCCCTGGATGGAGGACAAAAGAATAAGTAGCAGCCCAAAACACTATTTACAACAGATGAATAATATCTGAAAGTCATGTTTTCATGAAATTGGAAACAATTAAGCAAAGTCCTGATACAGAACATGAGATATGCATCTGGACCTTTATTCTACCCATCTACTGTTTGCTTGAGCCTCATCAGAAATGGTCTCTGTGCAAGGTTGGCTGTAATGAAGACATGCTTAAGGAAGAGAAACGGGGAGAAAAGGCTGATATATGTCAAATTACATAAACTGAACAAAAATCAGTGGCGAGAGGTCTGATGGAGCAATATTTAAAAATTTGAAATTTTGCGTTCAAGCCATTGTCAGTATGTATAAATGAGGAAGGGAGAGTGGTTACAACAATGAGTGTCTGCAGACATCTGTAAAAACACGGCAGAGGCTCTGTCATGTTTGGGCCCTGCAGACGACAATCTGAGCAGAGAGTTTCCCCTCACCTATCCACCCTCCAGCACTGCGTTCTTAGAGCTGATAAAAGTACTTTGATTATCTAACCACTGTACAGACTATTATACAGTGTGGTATAATATTGACTCTCACAGCTTATCGTACCTGCTATTTATCTTTTTATTTACACAGCATGCAAAGAGTTCTACGTAGGAACAGGTAAGGGACAGTATGACCTTAACTCCGTTTGGTACATAACCACAGGCTATTATAGTTAAAGTATATGTTGATACATAAATCAACTCTGAACTGTCCATTTATTATTTTTAAATGTATTTCTAAAAATTACATATTTTTTCTTCTTTGCGTCTTTCCAATCTAATATCTGATAAGCAAAGTCCAAACTGAGTCAAAACTACTAAACGTTTTGTCCCTCAACACGACGGTCTCTATACAAGCTAAATCTTTTTTTGTACTTATTAACCAAATAGCCTATTCATCATTACAGTTTTTTGATTTGGATTAAATCGATTGATTTGCAATTGCTAATGTTTAAAAGTCAAATAGCCAGTAAAGGTGGAGATTCAGAATAAGGTAGAAGGAACTGGTAAAATTAATTTGTAGTTTGGGGTTAATGCTGTAAACGGAGGAGGATATGGGCTTAGACCGAACGAGTATGAGCTGTCACAGTGCCAGTCTCTGCGACACTCAGCTTGCAGCGGGAGGCAAGCGACATCAGTGAACACGCTGACACCATTAACCTTCCTCTGTGGTCGAGGTAACCTGCTCCAGCACCGCGGATAAGCTGAGATTGGCAGCAGGTGTGACAGCTGATTAACACAAGCTGCAGGCAATTTCCCCTCTGATGTTTTTGTTTGTATTTTGCTTTGTGGAGCTGCAGGCCGTCATTGGCTGTCTGGTCCTGTGGCACAGCTGTTAGGGTGTGAATTTTAGTTATGTCTGTTTTTTCACATCTTTTCCATCAGAACTACATTTTATTATATACTTATATAATTAGTAATAATCAGTGAATTATTTTCAATAATTCAGTCAATTAGATGTCTGAATTTATCAGAATCTATCAATGTAAAGTAGATTGTTGTTCAATATTGAGAGGTAGTGGGTGCACTGCAATGTTAAGATTATGTGGTTGGAATGACATTGGTCTCTATTAACCTTCACTGTTCCTTGCTTTTAATTTCATTCAGTTTATCAGGAAAAACATGCTAAGGTTAGATAAGAGATACACAATACAGTTTCACTCGTATCATAAGCTTGTGTGTGTGTGTGTGTGTGTGTGTGTGTGTGTGTGTGTGTGTGTGTGTGTGTGTGTGTGTTCCCTGTAACCTGACTAGAGGTGACATTTTACGCAGGCTGCTTGATAAACACGAGTCTGTTTCCAGCAGTGGGAGTGCGCATGTGCAAATTAAAAGGACTTTTTGAGGTATAAAAACCTTTCCCAGAAAATTTGTTGTGTCTCAGACCATTGTGTGTGTGTGTGTAAGATCGCGTGTGTGTGAGAGAGAGAGTGAGAAACAGGGCGCGTGTTCGGGACTGTACCTTAAGTGACAACATTTCGGGGGCAAAGAAGGACAGAGTGGTGTGGACCTCCATTGATTTGGGAGAACCTTCCCGTGTCACACCTGCAACCATGAAAGTAGGTGACACAGAATATTATGAATTAAGCGTGAAAAAGAGCAGCAGGTCGATCTAATATAAAAATAAAATGGACCTGTTTTGTAGTTTCTGGTATATTTGGGAATGGGTTCAAAAAAGCGTATATGTTTATAGATGTCTATAAATAACTGTGCAGTATACAGAAATGCCTCAGTTGAAATAGCAATACATAATTTCAGATATATACATAAATACATAAGTATTATTTATCTAACTGTACAGTTCATCTGTGGGTTTTGTAATGAAGTGGTAAAAAAATAATTTAACAAAAAACTCATTTAAGAAGCATTTAATGTTAGCAATACAAAGGTCACATTGAAGGGTGCTGTGTATACCAAATGTATGAAATTATTTTTGTTTTGGTCTCTTCACCATCAAAAATATATGGACTTAAGTATTGTTTCCATATCTACCTGCATTCAGGACTCATACGACATGTTCGAAATGAATGGCGACATGGACAAGAAGAAGAAGAAAAAGATGAAGAAGAAGGAAAAGCTGGAGGGCATGAAAAAAGAAATGGATATAGTGAGTGATTTTAAGAAAGCTCTGTTCTTTTATCACCTTTAATCATGTAGAAAGGATTGGGAATTAGTTGAATAAAGGCTCTATCACTTTCCACGTTACTTTTATGACTTATTCCAGCTGCTGTTGAGATCTGACCAAATGCATCAATTTAGATATGAGTACATAACCTTAGCTCACTCCCCTTTGGAAGATTTCTGAATCTGTAATTTTGTCTGTCTCCTTCTGCAGGATGACCATGAAATAACAATTGAAGAGCTTGAAATGAGGTACACCACCAGTGTCGATAAAGTAAGACATTTCTCATCTTTTATTTCAGTCTTGTTTATTTATTCTTTATTATGCAACATTAAACAAGACAAAGGCAGTGCCTCTGTCCTTTTTTAAAGTTCACTTTTTTTCATGTGTCTTGCTCTGTACTCCATCCACAGGGCTTGACCTCCTCATTCGCCCGAGAGGTCTTGGAGAGAGATGGTTTTAATGAGCTGAAGCCTCCTAAAGGAACTCCTGAGTATGTGAAGTTTGCCAGGCAGCTGGCTGGAGGCCTTCAGTGTCTCATGTGGGTTGCCGCTGTTATCTGCTTCATCGCCTTTGGAATTGAACTTGGAAGAGGGAACCTCACAAGCTTTGATGATGTGAGTCAGCACTCTTCCCTTTCTCTTGCTTCTCCTTTAGTGTACAACTGAACCGAATGCATTATGGCTCATGTAAATTGATTTGAGCAGGAAGTATCGGAGAGAACTGGGAGGCAAATGAAGAGAGACTGTGGGAAGGAGGGCAACGACGTCCTATTTTAACATCCTCTGTCTCTCTCTCTCTCACTCCAGCTGTACTTGGCCATTGTCCTTATTGCTGTTGTCGTGGTAACCGGTTGTTTTGGTTACTACCAAGAATTCAAGAGTACTAACATCATTGCCAGCTTCAAAAACCTAGTTCCACAAGTAAGTTGCACAAATGCAGGTGTCAAAATGTTACCAAATGTTGGCCTATATTATTAATGACGTCTGTTATATCTCTCTGGCCTTCATGTTTTAATCCTCTTTCATCTTGTCTAATCTGGCAACCCACTCTCCAACATTAGCAAGCCCTAGTAATCCGTGATGGTCAGAAGAACCAGATCAATGCTAACGAACTAGTGGTGGGGGATCTGGTGGAGATCAAAGGAG